CCACCAAAGCCAGGCCATACAGGAATGTCTTGTGGGTGGCAGCCACAAAATCTATCATGCTCAACATAAACACCAGAAAGGCAGACACTTGTACAAACTTCCATCCAGGAATCACCAGTGCTCTTGAGTGCAGATGAGAGTATGTAGAGAGCACCTGTCTTGCAAGGTCTCCAGAGAGGATTACAGTTAGCCCTTAGTTGTGTGTCTAATTGAAGTGTGACCTTCAGGCCACATCTATGAAGATAAATGTAATAGTTCTTTTTCACTGAAAAATGGGTGTCTCTCTACTATGCCCTGGGGGTGGTAACCTGATAAGAACTCTTTCTCCATTTGTTACAGTCCTGTGGGACCTGCAAGCATAAGCCCCAATGGCTACTGTAACCAGGTGACCTAGAAGTGACCTTAGGGTGGCAGCTGTAAAAATTGGGGTGCCAAAGGAGGATACAAGCCCCTTGGCTGGAGACACCAGTAAGCTGCAGTGAGGTAGAAGGGGAGTGAAAAGACTGTGATGCCTGCCTGTGTCTTTGGAGATTATTTCAGCAGGTCTCTAGATGTGCACTAAATTAAATCTCTGCCCTTCAGACCAATGCTCTAAGATCGGCAAATAAGCCTCTTTTGTAGAAGGTGTGAGCACTTCTCAGTTGGCTCCCTCTGCCCTGGGCCCTGGGGAGGGCCCAGCAGGTGAGTCCATACAGGTGGGCCTTTTAAGAACGTTTTCTCAGTTAGCTTTAGCCCTGCGGGTCTGGTGGACATAAGCCCATTGACTTTCAAAGCTAGAGGTTTTGGGGGTATATCTCTCAGGCACAGGTCTTAAAATTGGGTGGTAGATGTGGGGTTGAAACCCTTCACATCTGAGGGAGAAACTTGGGGTTTTAAGTTCCATCCCTATAGGAAGACCCTGTACCAAACATGAGGTTTATAGCAAGACAGTGTCTCAGGCTCGTCTACCCACTTTGATATGTTTTTATTTTCTCATTTGTTCAATATATAGAAATCACTCAGCTAGTTTTTTTGTGGTTTTTTTCTTTAAGAAGAAATTATTTTATTATGTAGCTGTAGATTTGGTGGTGTGACCATGGGTAAGGCAAGTTTAGGATCATCCTACATTGCCATCCTGAACCACTTTCATATGGAAAATATTAAATCATCCTTATGGTTGGTTTATGATCAGCTTAACTGTATCTGGACCTCAAAAAGTTATTCCACAAGGTTCAAACCTGTTAGGATGGCCAACATCAGAAGACAAAAAAAAGGAGAAAGGGAAACCCTCCTACACTGCTGGTGGGAATGTAAATTAGTTCAGCATTGTGGAAAGCAGTATGGAGGTTCCTCAAAAAACAAGAAATAGAAATACCATTTGACCCAGAAATTCCACTCCTAAGAATTTACCCGAAGAAACAAGATCCCTGATTCAAAAAGACATGTGCACCCCTATGTTTATCACAGCACTATTTACAATAGCCAAGATATGGAAGCAGCCTAAGCATCCATCAGTAGATGAATGGATAAAGAAGAGGTGGTACATATACAAAATGGAATATTATTCAGCCATAAGAAGAAAACAAATCCTACCATTTGCAGCAACATGGATGGAGCTAGAGGGTGTTATGCTCAGTGAAATAAGCCAGGCAGAGAAAGACAAGTACCAAATGATTTCCCTCATTTGTGGAGTATAACCATAAAGCAAAACTGAAGAAACAAAACAGCAGCAGACTCACAGACTCCATTAAGGGACTAGTGGTTACCAAAAGGGAGGGGTTGGAGAAGGTGGATGGGGAGGGAGGGAGAAGGAGATTAAGGGGAATTATAATTAACACTCACAATATAGGTAGATCATGGGGAAGGCAGTACAGCACAGCAAAGACAAGTAATGACTCTATAGCATCTTACTACACTGATAGACAGTGACTGCAGTGGGGGGGGGGGGAGATTTGATAGTATGCGTAAATGTTGAAACCGCAATGTTGCTCATGTGAAACCTTCATTAGATTGTATATCAATGTTACCTTAATTTAAGAAGAAAACAAAGAACAAAAAAGTTATTCCTCAAAGGACCTTCTGAAGTTCTTATGGAGAAGATGGGGAAATTGACCACTTAGATGGTTTATCAATAATTTATAATTTCATTAAGTAATCTTATCTGATTATCACTTGCAAGACATTGTTCTCAGGCTTACTCCATTACTCATTTGTGTCATCAAATAGCTTGTAGTTTAGAGGAAATGCAGCACAATCTTACAACTGGAATGATCAGGGGGTAATCATTCAAAAAGAGTCCTATGTACTAGGGTGAATTGAGTAACATGACACTTTGCAGTGATAACTAACGATACTGGGATTGGGCCAAAGAAGTCACCTGCACAACTGCTAACAGATTAGAAACAGTTTTAAAACTTAATATCAATTTTAATCAATTTTGAGATCAGTGTGAGTCAAAATTCTGATGGAACCACCATAACTGCTAATGAGAGCACAAACTGCATTTTTAGAAGTGTAAGAGGTAAAATGATGTTTTCTATGTCTTGCCAATCTCATTGGTGATCAGACCCTATGTAACATATCTGCTTCAGAAATGATCTTGTTAGAGGATAAAGACAGATTTAATTATGCCCAAAGGAAAGAGAAAAAGAGCAAAGGGTCTCAGGATGGGATAATAATAAAAATACCTACTTTTAATTTTGTCCCCTTTGCATACCTTTTTAAAAGAAATCTTGGTGAACTATTTAATTCATATCCTTTGAAACATCACAACAGATGGATTACCATGCTTGTTCTCAAATCAGACCACCAGGGTTCAAATCTCTTTTCTATTACTTAGTAACAAACTGAATTTAGTATTTTAAGACTCAGATTTTACAAATCCAAAGACTCAAGTTTGCCCAAGGTAGAATTATTGTCAAATGACACACTTCTTGACATATCATGGTTAAATTTATCCAAGGGTGAAGATAAAATAATCCAAATTTCTAAAAAGTGGTGGGTAAAAAAACTAGAATATTACTTAAAAGGAATAAGACTAAATGAAGATTTTAATCTCAGTATTGGAGGCTTCAGAAACATTGGGGAGAAATCAACAATGATGAGTGTTACAGACTATAGGCAAGAATTTATACTTATAGAAGGTACCATTCACAAATCTGTGTTAAAGAAAGACATTAGTCCAACCAGGCCAAATTGTGGACAGAGACTGGCAGGCAAGACTGACCACAGGTGGGAAATTAAATGCCAGATTTTTATTAGAGCAGTGCTTCTCCAATTATAACATGCTTTCAAGTCTGTCAAAATGTAGATTTTGACTCAGTAGGTCTGGGGAGGAATCTGAGATTCTGCATTTGTAAACAGGCTCCCAGGTGACACTGGTGCTGCTGGTCCCTGTAAGTCTGTCTTTTTTTTTAGATTCAAAGCAACTGTTCTCTTTTCAGAAAAATAACCCCCAGAGGGAAGCTATGGGGACTACCTTCTCTCAAACTCCCTATTGAAAATTGAATTGTATCCCCCAAAAAGATATGTTCAATCCCCAATACCTGTGAGTGTGACCCTATTTGGAAATAGAGTCTTTGCAAATATGACCAATTAAGATGAGATCATACTGAGTGGGGTGAGCCATAATCCAATGACTGGTGTCCTTATAAGGAGAAGGAAATCTGAACACAAAGACTGACATACAGAGGGAAGACAATCACATGAAGAAGGTGGCAGAAATTGGGATCATGCAGCTACAAGCCAAGGAATGCTGAGGACTGCAGGCAACTGCTGGAAGCTAGGAAGGAAGTACTCTTCCCTGGAGGCTCCAGAGATTACATGACCCCAGTGATGCCTTAATTTCAGACTTTTATCCTCCAGAACTGTGGGAGAATAAATTTTGGTTATTTTAAGCCAAAAAAAAAAAAAAAAAAAAAGAAAGAAAGAAAGAANTTCAGTTTATAATCAAGATAAAAAGTCTATAGAAACTACTAAAAAAAATTACTTTTCATAGGTAAAATAAATGCATCAGTAAGCTTAAGAAGGATGAAAATGGTAATGAATCCTTCTGTGTATGTAAATGTGGGAGGGGGAATTTTTTTAATAGGCTGAGTAAAGTTTCTTGCAATAAAATATTTCATGGAAAAAAACTAATACTAGTCTTCTATTAAAAGTACTGAGCTCTAAATCATAACAATGAATAGGACAAACTTTTGTGGAAAAAAATATATAAATATGCTATAAACAATATAACACATATATGTCAAAATTATTCAATATATGAAAATAACTTAAGAAAACATAATTATACCTCATTTAAAAAGTATTTATTAGATACATTTTTAAATAGCTCATTCTCCAATTAATGTTAGAAATAGCAATCAATTGTTTAACATAATCTTAACTATTTAGATATTAATAAAAATTCTTAGTCCATTTCTCTGTTAAAAAAAGAAAGGAAACTGTGCCCCTGTGAGTGATTTGAGGTATCAATAAAAATGTTATTTTTCTGTGTGATGTGATGTGAACAATGAAAAATTTGTGTGCCTCTCTATATTTCTTACATTGTTTCCAATAAATAGAATAATAAATTGAATGTTAACCTATAAAAACACTATATCCTTACATTGAGTTGGCCTAAAAATTAAAGTTAGGGCTCTGGTTTCTGGTGAAAATGGAAAAGAAAGAACAAGAAGACTAATGTCCTGAGCAATAAAATCAGTACTTTCATCATTCAACCAAGATATTCAACTATACTCCAGGATAATTCATTAAATAGGTTCATTTTATTCCTGGAAAGTATTCATACAAGTTTATACATCATATGGTCCACAAGATGTAATTTTATCTTCATGAGCAAGGACTTCCTCACATATCAGTCATCTGAATTTTATAACTTTTCTTGTTCTAGAACCCTAATGCAGTGAGTATAATTATGCTAAGAGAATATAACTCATCAATGAAAGAATTAATTTCTAATTTGACTTTTTATAAGGTAAAACATTTATACTGTCTTTCCATTTTTTTTTATTTACAAGTGAAGCCTTGTGATTTTCCAGAAATAAAGCATGGAGCTTTATATTATGAAGACAGATATAAACCATATTTTCCAGTACCTATAGGAAAATATTATGCCTATCACTGTCATCAAAATTTTGTGACTCCTTCAGAGAGTTACTGGGATTACATTCATTGCACACGAGAAGGATGGTCACCAGCAGTACCATGCCTGAGTAAGTAAACGTTTTTGAATTTGTATAGTATAAATATTTCAAATACTGGGATAAGAAAGACATGTAAATGAGTACAACTAAAAATTATATGACAAAATAAAGCCAAGGGATGACTTCTTTGAGAAAAGACCACTATAGGTTTTTACTTTTATGGGAAAAATCACATAAGAGATAAAGATAGAGACTACAAAAATATCTATATCATTTATATTTCAGTTATAAAAACAAAAGATTGAATTCAAATATTGAATTTTCTCTTTAAAAAACTTTTGGTAGCAGCTGGTTTTTCTTAAGTTATACATTATTTTTGTATGCTTATTCATTCTAATTTAAATATTTCACAGATAATTTTAACAAAATTGACAAAATTTATATGTTTTAATTTTCATTTTTCATTTCATGATCCTTAGGACAATGTATTTTCAATTATTTGGAAAATGGAAATTATCCATATTCACAAATAAAATATTTACAGGGTCAATCTGTAAAGGTTGACTGCTATTCTGGCTACAGTCTTCCAAACGGGCAGAGCTTAATGACATGTACAGAGAATGACTGGTCCCCTCCTCCCAGATGCATCCGTGTCAGTAAGTAAAAGGGTCTGAGATCCCAGTGTATTTATGAATTTCTGACACTCATTAATATTCATTGTAGCAAAATGTTTATCAATTTCTTACCTTGCCAGTGGACCTAGACTTATTTCTTCCAGCTATGAACATATATATGAATTCCTTGACACACATATAGCAAAATAAAGAGCCTATTGATAAATGTTAGTAAAAAAAGGAGCAAAATAACTGCAAAGAAACCTGTAATAATAGAGTGATATCATCAATATAACAGAATAGGAGTTTCTGTTGTCTTTCCCACAAGGATCACAAATTATAGTAATCACCTGCAAATGAGAAAATCTTTGTGGGAGTCCAGGAATTTAGCAGGGACGTTTCAGCGCATCATTAGACCAAAAGGATCTAATATATTGGATGCATTGAAGATGGTGCGAGGAACTGTTTCACTTATCTGAGTCACTCCTCTAATGTGGCACAGTTCAGTGCCAAGGGAGTCACACCTGGCCCATTATTTCTCTATTGAGGGAAAGAAAGAGCATGTGAGTGAGCATCTGGGGGCTGAAGGGGAAGTAAAGCCATGCACTACCTACAAAACTGTATACTATCACTTCAGCTTTTAGCACACACATAGGATGAAAGTAAAGGGGTGGAAAAAATATTCCATACAAATGGAAACCAAAAGTGACTAACAGCAGCTATGCTTATATAGACAAATTGTCTATTAGTCAAATAGGAATAAGAGACAAGTCTAATGATGACAAAAGAGTCGAATAATGAAGAGGATATAAAAATTGTAAATATATATGCATCCAACATTGGAGCATCCAGATATATTAAGCAAGTACTAACATATCTTAAGGGAGAAATATACAGTAACATAATAACACTAGCAGACTTAAATAACCCATTTTCAACAATGGTTAGATCAGTCACAAAGGAAACATTGAACTTGAAATATGCTTTAGACAAAATAGGCATAAGACACATATACAGAATATTCCATTCAACAGTGGCAGAATACTTATTCTCCAGAAGCACACATGGTACATTCTCCAGGATAGGTAGTTGCATTAGGTCACAAAGCAAGACTTAAAAATTTTTTTAAGATTAAAATAATGCCAAATATGTTTTCTGACCATAGTGGTATGGTAGACACCAGTAAAAAAACCAATGGGTCAAAGAAGACGTCAAAGGGAAATAAAAATATATCTTTAAAGAAACACAACATAACAAATATACAAAAGCAGCTCTGTGAGGGGTGTTGATTAAATAAACACCCACATTAATAAAAAAGAGTGACCTCAAATAAAATGCATAATAGTATACCTCAAAACAAACTAGAAAAAGAACAAAACTAAAGTTAAAAGACCTAAAGAAATAACAAAGATCAAAGTAGAAATATGAGAAAGAAACCAGAAAAATGAGAGAAAAAAATCAACAAAACTAAGACCTAATTTTTTGAAAAGATAAACAAAATTGACAAACATAAAGTTGACTGACCAAGAAAAAAGAGATCAAATAAAATCAGAAATGTAAGTGGAGACATTACAAATGATGCCACAGAAATACTAAGGATCATGAGACAGCTATAAACAACTATACACCAACAAATTGGATAGCACAGAAGAAATAGACAAATTCCTAGAATCATACAACTTACCAAGACTAAATAATGAAGAAATAGAAAATCTGAACAAACCAATAACAAGGAAGATTGAATCAGTAATCAAAACAAGATTGAATTAGTAATCAAAAACATTTTCAGAGAAAAGCCAAGGACCAGAAATTTTTACTGGTAACTTAAAGAATTAATGCTTCTCAAACCATTCCAAAAAAATGCAGAGGAAGGACACTTCCAAAATCATTTTATGAAGTCAGCATTACCTTACCACCAAAGCCAGACAAGGATACTACAAAAAAAGAGAAAAGTATAGGCAAAATAGCACTGATGAAATAGATGTAAAAATGCTGAACAAAATACTAAGACACTGAATTCAACAGCATATTAAGAAATACGCCATGATAAAATTGGATTTATCCATGGGATTCAAGGATGGTACATCAGATGCAAATCAGTAAACATGACATACCACATTGACAATATAAAGGGTAAAATCATATGATCAACTTACTGACGCCTAAGAAGTATTTGGCAAAATTTAACATTCCTTTATGGTAACAACTCAACAAATGAAGTATTAAAGGAATGTATCTCAACATAATGAAGGACGTAAATGAGAAGCGCACAACTAAAATCTTAATGGTAAATAGCTGAAAGCTTTTCCTTGAGTATCAGGAAGAAGGTAAAGATACCCATTCTAACCACTTCTAGTCAATATACTACTGGAGATCCCAGCCAAAGCAATTAAGCAGTGAAAGGAAATAAAAGACATCCAAATAAGAAAGAATGAAGTAAAACTGCCTGTTTGCAGATGACAGGATCTTACATATAGAAAACTCTAAAAACTCCACCAAAAACCTGTTAAAATTAATAAAAGAATTCAGTAAAGTTGCAGGATACAAAAACAATATATAAATATCATTTGCATTTCTATACACTAGCAACAAACTATAAGAAAGAGGAAGTAAGAAAATAATCCCACTTACAATAGCATCAAAAATAATATCTAGGAATAAACTTAACCAAGAAGGTCAAAGACCTGTACTCTGAAAATTATAAGATATAGGTGAAATAAACAGAAGAATACACAAATAAAGGCAAAGATATCCCATGTTCATGGATTGGAAGAATTAATATTCATAAAAATGTCCATGCAACCCAAAATGATCAACAGATATAATGAAATCCCTATCAAACTTCCACTAGCATTTTTCACAGGAATAGAAAAAAAAATACTAAAATTCATTTGGAACCACAAAACACCCCCTAACAGTCAAAATAAAGTTGAGAAGAACAAAACTGGAGACATTGTGAAACCCAATTTCAAATTGTATTACAGAGTGAAAATAATGAAAGCAATATGGCACCAGCATAAAAATGGCATACGTATCACTGTAACAGAATCAGGAGCCCAGAAATAAACCATGCATATGTAATCAACTACATTTGACTACAACTAATATTTGACAAGGGAGCCAAGAATACACAATGGGGAAAGGAGTGTTTTCAGTATGAAACAGGGCACCTATATTAAACCAGGGCACCTATATTAAAACACTAATGGAAATTAACTCTAAATGATTTAAAGACTTAAATATAAGACTTGAAAACATAAAAACCTAGAAGAAAACATGAAAATATCTTCTGGACATTAGTCATGGCAATGATTTATTTTGGATGTGACACCAAAAACACAGGCAACAAAAATTAAAATAAATTTGACTTCATCAAACAAAAACGCTCTGCTCAGCAAGTCAGAAAAATAAAAAGTCAACCTATAGAATGGGAAAAATACTTGTAAACCATATATCTAATAAGGAGGTTAATAAATATATAGAGAGATCATACATGTGATCTATATATAGTATATGTATTTTTAAGAAAGAAAACTGATACAACTCAGTAGTAAAAAGAAATAATAAAACCCAAGTGCTACAATACTAAATGAGCAAAGGATTTGAATAGATATTAGACATTTTTCTGAAGAATACATGCAAATGGCCAACTGATACATGAAAAGGTACTCAAAAATCACTAATCATCAAAACCACAGTGAGATATCACTTCATACATGTTAGAATGGCTTTTATCAAAAAGATGAAAGAAAGCATGTGTTAATAAGGATGTAGAGAAAAGGAAATACCTGTACACTTTTGGTAGGATTGTAATTTGTTACAGTCATATATATCATATGTCTATTTTCAGGATGTTTGTAGCATTTTATATTCCCAGAACCAATGTATGAAAGTTCCAGTTGATTCACATCATCATTAACAAACTGAATGGTTGGTTTGGTGTGTTATTGTACTTTAGGTGGCCATAATTCTTGTTTTGTAAATATTTAGCTCCTTGCCATTTTTAATTTGGTTTATCTTATTATTAAGTTATAGTAGTCCTTTTAATATTTGGGATAAAATTTCCTTATGAGATGTGTGGTTTACCAGAATTTTCTCACATTCTATGTCTAGTCATTTGAGTTTTCAACAGTTTATTTCTAGGAAGAGATATTTTAACTTTTGATGAAATACAAATTTATCAATTTTTAGTTATTTATTTTTTGTCCTATACTGGACAACTTTACCATCCCAATGTTACAAAGATTTGTCATACCTTTTGTGGAATGTTTATATACTTACTTTTACATTCATGTCAATGATTTATTTCTAGTTCTTTTGGGTGGAATAGAGTTCATTTATTTCCTTATATGGATTTCCAGGTGTCCCAGACAATTTTTTGGAAATAATAACCTCTTACTCATTTGAGGAACTTTGTCAAAACTCCACTGAATATAGGTTTGTGTGTGTTTCTGGACTTATTACTATTTTCCATTGATTTATATATTTATCATTGTATCAATATGTCATATTTTGATTAATATAGTGTGAGTCCTTTGACTTTGTTCTTAATTATGGAAGGTAGAATAAAGGCTGTCCCCAAATGTTTGTGTTTTAATCTTGGGAACCTGTAAATATGTTACCTTCCTTAGCAAAAGGAACTTTGCAGATGTTATTAAGATAACATCTTGAAATGGGGAGATTATTAATGGATTACCTGAGTGGACTTATGGTAATAACATGTGGAAAGGGAGAAAGAAAAAGAGGTGTGACTGTGGAAGAAGGATCAGAAGGGGATTCGAAGTTTCTGGCTTTAATAATGGAGAAAGGAGCCAAGGAAGTCAGGCAACCTTTAGAATCCAGAAACCACCTCAGAAAGAAGCATAGCCTTGCGGGCATCTTGATTTTGTCCTGGTGACATCTGTGTCAGGCTTCTGATCTGTAAAAAAAAATTGAATATAATAAATTACTATTGTTTAAGCTGCTGAGTTTGTGTAATTATTTAATAGCAGTGGTAGAAAACTATTACATTAATTATTAAATTGGCTTTTCTAGTTATTTTC